CCCTCTTCCTCCCCCTCATCTTCCTCCTCCTCCTCCTCTTCCTCCTCCTCTTCCTCCTCCTCCTCCTCTTCCTCCTCCTCATCTTTTTCGTTGTTCCTCCGTATTATTATTGTTGATGCCATTGTGATTACTCGTCCTCTTCAGCTTCGGATCCTTCTCATGTTTGTCTGAAGTCTTAGCTTGCTCCTTTCTGGTATCATAAGCAATAGCAAGCATATTAGCACTACGAGTAGTAGTATTCGTGGTTTTACTATTGTTGTCATTATTACTATTTGCTGACATGATTGGTAGTGATAGTCTTATGAATCGTATTGATCGTAATAGTATGGGTATTACTATTCGTCTCATCATTGCTTTTACTAGTAGTGATGATTATGATTCTTCTTCTCATTAGTATTAGTATTATTATTATTAAGATTATTAGTAATATTAGTATTATCATTATTACTATTATTATTATTCCTCTACCTTCTCCTCTTCCTCCTCCTCCGCCTCCGCCTCCGCCTCCGCCTTCGCCTCCGCCTCCTCCGCCTCCGCCTCCTCCGCCTCCGCTTCCTCCGACTCCGCCTCTTCCTCTTCCTACTCCTCCTCGTCTCCTCCTCCTCCACCACCGCCTCCGCCTCCGCCTCCGCCTCCTCCTCCTCCTCCTCCTCCTCCTCCTCCTCCTCCTCCTCCTCCTCCTCCTCCTCCTCCTCCTGTCTCCTCCTCCGCCTCCTCCTCCGCCTCCTCCTCGCCCTCCTCCGCCTCCTCCTTCTCCTCCTCCTCCTCCTCCTCCGGCCTCTCCTCTTTTCAATCCCCATCACCCTACCTCCCCCCCTCCTTTTCTCGGATCCTCCTCTCTCCCCCTCCTCTCCTCCTCCCCTCCTCCTCCTCCTCCTCTCTCCTCGTCCTGTTCCATCCTCCATCTTCTCTCCTCCCTCCTCCTCCTCCTCCTCCTCCTCCTCCTCCTCCTCCTTCGCCTCCTCCTCCAGCTAAAGCGACGACGGCCGGGCGCCTGGCCTGACCGGTGGTCGAAGCGCCGACGTTCACCATGACGCGCGCCACCTGATGGCCATCAGCCGTTGGAATCGCCAGAGCACCCCCTGCCCAAGAGCACCCCCTCTCGTCGTCGTCGTCGTCGTCGTCGTCGTCGTCGTCGTCGAATCCTCTGCAGACTTGGGGGGGGGCCGCGGAGGGAGCGATACGGGGTCCCCAGAAACCCCGACCCTTCCCGGGCCTGGTTCCCAGCGGCCAGCCACAACTGGGGGAGCTGTGGTCCTCACCCCCCTGGGGGAACCCATCGCATCGACGATCTCTCGAGAGGGGTGTCGAAATCGATGGGTCCCCCAGAGGGGAAAGGACCACAGCTCCCCCAATTGTCCCTGGGCCGCCCGGGCCTGGTTCTCATTCCTGATAATTGTTTGACTGTCCAGGGACCCGGCGAGGGCCCTCAGGGAGACTGGCTGATTCATCCGATGGCGACTCATCCGCTCCGACTCATCCGATCCGCGGTTCGGGTGAACCGCGACCGGATGAATTAGACCGGATGAATAAATCACCGGGTGAGTTAGCACGAACAAGTTAGTCACTGGATGAGTTAGCCCAGATGAATTTGGCACCGGATGAACTAGGCACAAATGAGTTTGGCACCGGATGAATTTGGCATCAACTGAGTTTGGCACTGGATGAATTTGGCACCGGATGAGTTTGGCACCGGATGATATTGGCACCGGATGAGTTTGGCACTGGATGAGTCTGGTACCCGATGAGTTTGGCACCGGATAAATTTGGCACCCGATGAGTTTGGCACCGGATGAGTTTGGCACCCGATGAGTCTGGTTTGGGCTGATAATGGTGTTCCTCGTCATAGTGTGAGATCTCGTTTGTTGGCGCGGGCGCCAGTGGGGTCATGTCAGAGATTCTTCGACGGACTCGTTGGAAGAGCTGCGCTGTCTACCACAAGGAAAGCACCTACGCACAAACTCTCGGAGGCTCGCGCGGAGATCTCGAGTCGGCGCTGGACCGCTCCCAGGTTGGGCCTGGCGCGCGACGGGCGGCGCCCGCCCAGATCGGGGCCCAGTGCCGACGCAGGAGATCCGAGAGGGCTTCCGACAGTGTATGCGGATGCGTGCTCATTGCTGCCGATCGCTTGGCGTATGTCGCTTCTTCTCAGCATTCCTCGCTCTCCGTCCTGTTCCCAGTCGTCCTCCTCCCTCCCCTCTCGTCCTCCTCCTCCTCGTTTCCACGGTCTATCCTGCCCCTCGTCCTCCGCATCCTGCGTGTGTCCTCGTTCCCCTCCTCCATAAGTTTTGTTCCTCCTCCTTGTTTCTCTCCTGCACGTCCTCCACCTTCTCTCCTCCTCCCTGTCTTTCTCCTACCGAGGGGCGGGCTGGATGAGTTCGGCACTTGGAGTTAAAGCGCTGGATGCCGGATGAATTAGGCAATTGTATGAATAGAGCACCGGATGAGCTAGGCACTGGCTGAGTTAGGCCTGAGTAAGTTTAGTGACGGACCGCATGAATTAGGCAATGGATGAGTTTGGCACCGGATGAGCTTGGCATCAGATGATTTAGGCACTGGATGAGTTAGGTCTGGGAGTATTGAGTCAGGCATCGGATGAGTCAATTGCCCACGCTCTTCGCTCTTCTGGTAGGGCTTCTTGGGGGCATCCTGGGACATATGGGGAATGAGAATTCGCTTAATTACAAAACGGTCTGTAGTCAAGCAAGTCTTGAAATACTTTGAGTTATTGTGGGATGTTTTTGAAGCCGTTGGGGGTCGCTGCCTCCCGAGGGTGTTCTGGAGAGGTTATTAGGTGTATCCTGCAGCAGAAGGGAGCTGAGAATTCGCTTGACTACAAAAAGGTTTGTAGTCAAGCAAATGTTGAGTTCCTTTCGAGTTATTTTATGACGCTTTCAAGATCATCGGAAGAGTAAGGGTATCAAATGAGTTTGGGCAGCGGATGAGTTACGATACCGGATGATTTAGGACACCAAATGGGTTAGGGTACCAGATGAGGTAGTCACGGGATGAGTTTCGCACCGGATGAGTTAGGACACTGGATGAGTTAGGGCACGGGCTGATTTCGGCGCCAGATGAGGTAGGACATCGGGTGAATTAGTCACCAGATGAGTTAGGCAACGGATGAAATGTGCATCGGATAAGTTAGTCTCCGGACAGGCCTGGTTGACTTGAGGTAGGGCGCCGGATGAATTCGGCACTGAAGGAGTTAGGGTCCTGGATGAGTTTGGAGCACCAGGAAGTTAGGCACTGGATGTTGGATGAGTTCGGCTCGGATGTTGTCGAAGCCGACGTTGGGAGCTCGCTGCTTCCAGATGCTATTGGGAAGGGCTTCTTGTATGCGTTTTGGGGCAGAAGAGAGGTAAGAGTTTGCTTAACTACAAACAAAACGTTTTTTTGTCAAGCGATTGTTGAGTTACTCTTGAGTTCTTGTTGGGTGATTTTCAAGGCGACGTTCGGGCATAGCTGCTTCTCGAGGTTCTGCTGGAGGGATTCTCGGGGGTATCCTGGGGCAGATGGGTGGGTAGAATTTGTTTGACTATCTAACGGTTGGAAACCAAGTAAATTCTGAGCTCCTTTCCAGGCATTGTTGGACGCTTTGAAGGTCACGTTTGGGGGGGCTTCCTGGGGCCTGCGGCAGATGGGGGGTTGGAATTTGCTTGACTACAACAAGTTTTGTAGTCAAGCAAATTTGGAATTACTTTTGGATTATCTGTGGCTGTCTTTCCAGACGACGTTGGGAGCTCGCTGCTTCTGGAGGGTTTCGAGGGGGTATCCTGGGGAAGAAGGGGGGTGACAATCTGCTTGACTGCAAAATGGTTTGAAATTTGGAATCAAGCATTTTCGGGCACGTCCGTCGAGATGCTGGATGAGTGATGTTAGATGCATTTAGGGTATCCGATGAGTGACGGAGTGGATGAATTCGGCACCAGATGAGTGAGGGTACTGGATGAGTTACAGGGCGGACGAGTTCAGATAACGAAAGAATTAGGGCGTCGGATGATCAGAGCACTGGATGAGTTCGTAAACGGATGGGTTTGCCACCGTAATTATGAGTGAGGGCGCTGGAAACTGTGAGGCACCAGCTGAGTGAGGACACCTTGTGAGGTAGAACATCGGATGAGTTAGGCAACCGGATGAATCAATGACCGGACGAGTTTGGCACCGGATGAGTCAGGCAGGGCACCGGATGAGTTTGTCACCAGGTGAACTGGATGAATTTGGCACCGGATGAGTTAGGGCATCGGATGAGTTAGCTGCCACATGAGTTTGACCAGATGAGATAGGTCATGAGTGATTTAATCAGGCTCCAGATGAGAATTACCAAACGACTTTGACCGGATGAATTGACCACCGGATGAATTCGACCGGATGAGATAGGCATCGGATGAACTACACCAGATCTGTTTGACACTGAATGAGCTCGGCGCGGATGAATCGGGCATCGGGTGAGTTTGACCGGACGAGTTTGGCCCGATGAGTTAAGCACGGGATGAACCAGCCCGGTTTCGCAGGAGGGGTCCAAAATCCGATCTTGGGGGGGGGGGGCGGGGGGGGGAGCCCTGCGAGCTCGTCAACGCCTTGCCTGGGCCTCTGGAGCCTCCAAAGTGGGCGCAGGACTGCTCGGAAGGCCCCACATAGAGCGCCACGACAATCCAAGAGAGCGTCGAGACGGCCAAAGGTAGCCCCTCGACGGCCTAATATGTTTCGAGACGGCCCACGGGGCTCGCAAGACGGCCCGCGAGAGCTCCCAGAGGACCGCCGAAGAGGCCCCAAGAGGGGCAAACATCGTCCCAATCCCCGGGGAGGCGTGCATTTTGAGCATGCTCGCCTTTTCCGTCTTGACTGCGTCCAAGACGGCCGAGAGGGCCCCCAATCTTGTTCCAAGACGGCCCATGAGGCCTCCGAGAGGGCCCCAATACGGCCTGGAGACGACCCCAGGGGCCCCCAAAACGGCCCAAGAGAGCCCCAAGACAGCCCAAGAGGGGAAAGAACAAACCTGACATGTCGAGCCGTCCTCAACCATCCTGTTCCTCTCCCCCACCCCCACCCCTCCTCCTCCTCCTCCTAATCCTACATCTCCTCCTCTCCTCCTCCTCCTCCTCCTCCTCATCCTCGTCCTCCCCTCCTCGTCCTTCCTCCTCCTCCTCCTCCTCCTCCTCCTCCTCCTCCTCCTCCTCCCCCTCCCCCTCCTGCTCCTCCTCCTCCTTTTCCTCCTCCTCCTCCTGGACCAAGCCCCAGCGCAAGATGAATCTCTCGCGCCAGGTACCGCTTCCGCCGCCGCATGGGAAGGCCCCAGAGGCGGGCGGCGCCTCCGACTTGCTAGCACGAGCGGGCAAACCATCGACCTTGCACTGGGCACCTCTTCAGCTCGAATGAGGTCACCCGTCCTGAAAAGTTGCACACAAAGGGTACCAGACCTCGTTAACTTGGCACCGCGACGGGGCCGGCGCAAGCGTTGCCAGGACCCGCGCTCCCCATGAGCCCGCAGGTGGCGGTCCTGTGCAGGCGGCGCTGGGACGGGCAGAGACTTTCGCCCACCCATCCCACACACCGCACACACCGCACACACCACACTGCGCTCCCCAACTGACTACCTACCAGACCACCCCAACCCAACCCGAAGGCCCGAGTTTCGGGTTGGGGGGGGGGGGTACGGGTTCCATAGGTGTCGTCTCGATGTTCCCCGACCCCCCCCCCAAACTGGAAATGGAGGGCAAATCGAGACCTTCGGGTTGGGTTGGGGTGGTTTGGTGGGTGGTGACCAACTGGGAAGGATGTATGGCGTGCTGCACGCTTCCAGACTGCGCGGCACGAGCGGCGGCGACGTCGGCCCCCTCGAGCGATCGCGGCGCGGCGGGTCGGCGGAGGGGGGGTGTAGCACCTGCAGCACGGGGGCGCGAGGCTTCGCACTGCGGTGCGAGGGAGAGGCATGGAGGAGGAGGAGGAGGAGGAGGAGGAGGAGGAGGAGGAGGAGGAGGAGGAGGAGGAGGAGGAGGAGGCCTGAGCCGATATGCGCAACCCGCGCGGCCATCTTCAACAAA